GTCATGAAACTTACGGGAAGGTGGTTGAAAATTCATTTGTATTTACAGGAGATCTGATGTTTATATTGGATTTACGTGACAACACTACCAAGAGGTGGTTCATACGATTTAATTTATGGCTAACGATCATTGGAAAAAGGGCTTTATGTTCTGCGGACTCAAATAGCTATTCGTGTGTGAATATTCAATTGTGCCTGAAACCAAGTGTTATGGTTATCCATTTTCTGAAGAAAATAGAAGAGTCTAAGAATGTTATAATTTGGAATCAAAATAAAGAGTTCGCGATGAATAAAGAAACTAACGGCTTGATACTTTATACGGTTTACATATTCATGTTTACGTTACCTTATATGAACTTCTATGGAGGATGGAGCATCTTGTTAAATGGTCGGTACTGCGGTTGTTTACGTTGGCACAAATATTTTGGAGACGTTTGTCTAAGGAATATGTTTGCCTGTGGCAACATAGACCAAAATGGACTCGACCAGAGAAGAACATAGGAGAGAGTGACTTGGTGACGACATGTTCTGGTTTCTTAGAGAAAGACAAATGGTTATTAGGTCTGGCAAGGAAAAAGATACCTAGTAATGGTAGATAAAGACCGATGGAGTTGAGGGCGAGACAAGGAATCTTAATAAGAGATATCTGAAAACTGCGTGTAGAATTTGTAGATGTTGGGTAGCTACTCGGATCCCCAGGCCTACTGGTGTATGTCCTAGGGATCAAGAGATTGTTGGCATATTGGATGTTTGTTGGTAATTGCTTGTGATGCATATACTTGGATATTTGCTGCTTATTTATTTGTCTATGAAAAGAACCAAGGTTCTTTTGGTCGGGAGTGTTAAGGGAGAACTGAAGACATAGTAATAACAACTTATTCTCAAATAACAGTTTGTTACGTGAGGCATGCCAGTTTACAGGCAAGATCAAATTGTTACAAATAATACAATTTCCAACTGCAGTAAATTACTCAGCTGGGTCGATAATTTATAAGATATGAATATAGATGTTTTTAGTCAATATCACAGTTGACGCGCTTAATGAAAGTTGTGTTGCGATGTGCAACTGATGATCGGTAATAGATTCATGTGAAGTTGGAGGCTTCTAGAAATCGCAATCTTATATCCCTTTGGAATATTTAAGGCTTTAAGGATGGTTCAGCACGAGGTCATCCGTTCCGTATCTCAAGGGGGCTAAAAAATGGTACAAGAAAAGAAAGAAAACAAAAAAGGGTGAGAAGCAGAGCAGACAATGTTCATGAAGAAATAGTTAAGGTACGACTATTCAGTCTCATCCTCTTTTGTTAAAGTATTCATTAAGCAGGAGCATCCTAATAACTTGAAGAAAATAAGAGTAGACAAGGTATGAGTGGATAAACAACTGGCATATGGAGTTGGTTCAGAAAGAAACTGAGAGTATGGGATTATATGTATTTATAAAATATAGTGCTAAAAACACTATTATGACACACAAATGGCTGTCTCCCTGTTTTTTTGTCGAAGCTATTGGAGCCGTTTTTAGATTTTATAGGGTCTTGAGAAAGCTTCGCTTTTTAGCGAATTGTCTAGTTTGCTTGTAATAGAATTACTGGGTAATGAGTGAAACCAATCCAACGTTCTGAACACGATTTAATGAAGCATTTTGCATGATAAATCAGCATCAATACCATTAGTTCGTGACATTCCACTAGACCATAAGGAGCCGTAATTTAACAAAATGTTCTGCACTACAGACATCGGTGGATTGAAGTTATCTCCCCGCCATCATGTTTGCTGGTCAGTGACGCCACCCTCCCTCCTTTTGTGATGTTAGGCTCTCTTACGTTTGTGGTGGGCATGAATATTGCTTTAATCAAATCCAATAGTCGGAATACACTGTCTCTACTAGTTCCATGTTACAAGCAAATCAGATACTTAAAGCGTTTGTATTATGGGTTAGATGTCCATTTAGTATATCACACTGCTATGAAGATAAATAATGGTGAAAGTTAAAAAAAACAGGTTAGATTATGTGTGGTTTAACGATAGCAAGGACTAATAGCAAATCAAAGGATGTGAAAGACTATAGAATTTTAAATTTTTTGGGGTAAGAAAAATAATACATCGAACAACTCACATGACTTTATGGCCAATTTTGAGCTTCGTATGATCAGCCTTAGTAGATCAGAATCCATAAGATTAGTGAGTTATCTGTCTACTTGCAATAGAAAACGAAAAGAGACATGACACTTAAGAAGAATAATGTATATTTAACCAGTAGAGAGATTCGGGAACTGAAAGTGAGGGTTAGGAGCGTTAGGCCTTGATTAATGGACAATGAATAATGGGAAACGGCAAACCATATGTCCTGTAATTTAGTTGTATTCATATCGCAGATAGTTTGAGAAGCAAAACACACATATCATCGCCTCCACGTTTTAGCATACTAGCTGGAATACCATCTGGTCCATCAGTGTATGAGTGTTTCAATCTACTAATCGCCTTTGAGATATTTGTACACTGAAGTCTACATTAGTAGTTTCACTGGGAGGTACTGAGATTGGTTCTGAATCGTTCAGTGGTTTTTCATTAGTTAGTGAACAACAAAAGTGTTCACTAAATAGTTCAGTGACAAGTTTAGGGTCTTCGTATACTTGTTTGTCCTTAACGAATATGCTCCCTCTCGATTTGGAACGTTTAAGTTTATTTTGAAGGAGTATGGTGAGTGCAGAGGAGGTATTATTTGGTTCGACTGCACGTTTTTCTTGTGCGACTGCTTTTTGTGTACTTATTGCCTCTGTTGGGATAAATATTTCTGTCATCGTTACTAAAGAGGAAAAGTCATTAAAGTTGTGGAATCGAGTACAATGTCTTTGAAGATGTCTTCGTGTACTGATAGGTATATAGAGATCTTTAGAATACGTAGGTTTACAGTACTCTAAAAGTGCGATTTTGCTGATGATTGAAGCTGCTTCCCTCAACATAACAGAATGAACCATATCCGGACCAGGAAAAGTGTCTTTTCTTAGGCGCTGCAGTTTCCGGAATACCAAGTCAGCACTCAGGTTTACTACGGAAAGTCCTGTGCAGTTACAGACGAAGCTTCCATCAGTATAGTTGATGTGGTCGGTCGAAATGTTAGAGAGAATTGTTCAGCTGGAAGGTTAGCGGCATCACCGTTGTTATTGGTCTGTCCATTAGGACCTAGCAGTTGGGAAACTCCAGTTTTGGCTGGTCGAAGAGGGGCTGAATAACGGAATAAGCTTTTTGGATTTAGGACAAGTTTATTAACAATTTTTATCTGGTACTAAAGCCTGCCTTATTATCTTTGTGCATATGTTCCTTACATGTTTGTATTGCCTGTATGCGCCGTTGTTGTCAGTTCATTTGTATTCTGCCCAATAGTGTCTTTTGCGGTTTAGCAAACGAAGAGTGAGGTACTTGGTGACTGTATGTTGCTTGTAGATTTTGGGGACTATTTGAAGACCAGACTGCTTTGTAACACATAAGAGGGTGTGCAGCAAGAAATCCCAATGAGCACCCACTTCAAGTTGAGGGTGAACATCCCAATCCGCCTGTTGTAGATAATCCTGTAAAGCTGACATATTTAAACGTTTGAAATTCCAGCTACTGTTGTTGGTGGGATGCCTTATCTCAGTTTTGCTGATAAAACTGGAGGCTATGGCGGCGTGATCGCTTCTCTTCAGGGGAGCCAGGATTGAGAGGTTGACAACTGGGAATTTTTTGTTTGTAAATACACAGTTCAAGCGCGACGGCGCCTGACTGTTTCTTTAACGAGTTGCCGAATTCACATCGTCGAATAATCCCAGATCCTCAATGAGGTTGAAGAACTGAGCTTCAGTTCAGTTTTCACCACCACATACGTATTTTCCGCGAAATTGACTTTAGGAAGATTGAAGTCTCTTAGAATCAGGACATGAGTGAATCCGAGACTCATGGGGCGGATTGATTGATAAACTCTTGGTTGTGAACTTGATGTGCCTCCAGAAATTATCGTAAGCATAGTTCCACTCCACCTCCGATTCCAGTTTTTCTGTCATTGAGAAACAAAACATCATCGGTATTGTAAGCTTCTGGTCCGTAAAGTGAGAAGATATCCAAGTTTCAGATATTTCAATCCGAAGAGCATTGTGAGCATTGTTAAGTTCACGTAGCTCTTCCATTTTATTCCTTAAACTCGCAGCGTTTATGTAAAAGCACTTCACGTTTTCAATCCGGACATCCGTTTCGTCCTAGTACGGGACACTCTGGGAGTGCACACCCACGGCTTCGCACTCAGAAATTGTATGCAAGACCTTCATGCTCGCGCGCGGACGCCTGACTTCTAGACATCTGAGTCGGAATTGATTCGTGCTAATGTCTAATTTCAATGAGTCCACGATATTGCGTGACCATCTTCCATTGACTTCGGTAGTTAACTGCCACACATGACGCAGTCTAGCTCAACTGGCACTCATGAATTCTCACTAGAACTTCTGGAATTTTCTCTCGGGGTCGGTCACTAGTGAGAACATGATGATTGTTAGTATGAAGTTATGGGGATTGTTTGATCTCATTGAAGTCATGACCACGTTTGTAACAGTGATCTAACTTAGATCGGTGCGTGAGCTTCCACGTCATGTACGTCTGCATGAGACTTATATGAATGGAGAGGTAGCCTACCTATACGAAGTTTTCCGAGCTGGTAGTTCCCGTGACCAACATTCATTTGTATTCAAGGAACACCATTTGTTTTATGGAGCTCTCCTTTTCCTAACGAATTTGTAGATGGTAGTCTTTAAACATGAGGTGGACTAAAGTGTTATTTCACTAAACTGAATAGGTTTAGAGGGCAAATTACGCTAACTATAGAAAAAACTCACACCTTTCCAAACTGTGCATCAAGAGCGAATTATCAGAGGGATGAATTTTTACTATTAAGGATCAGCTTCAGTAACTGATGTAAATTTCAAGAGACAAAAAGAAGCCTATTTCTCATTCGAATTGAGTTTTGGATTTGGTGGTGGGAATTTCGATATTTCTAGGTCAGTTAGTGTTATATGAAATGGTACAATCTAACCATAGTATCTTACCTATTATTTCCGCTTGTGATGAGTCTTCTACAGAGCAAAAAGCGAAAAAAGATCATTTCCTTTCATCGCGTAATATCTTTCACATTTGTTTCATATCAGTGATTGTTCTGAAGTTATATGGAGAATATTTCACTAGTACATGAGACATCTTGAAAATCAGTTCTTATAGATATTGTTCTGGCATTGTGGGGATACATTACGGTCCTCTTCATGAATTCAGAGTTACAGACAAGTAATTTCAATACTTCCCAGTTAGCATTAGCCGGGACCCTAGAGACAGTTTCGTAGCTCTCCTGGCAGTTTCAGGAACATATAATTCTTTCTCTGAAGTAGCCTGGAGTCCTTCGGGTGCTCCGAGGGTCCCCCGTGCCTATGCTAACTGGGTTGAAGTTTTGCTTATGTAATACTGTTGTAGGTTTTTTCGATATCTCATACCGGAAGATTTGCATTCCTTTGTCCGTCGTTTCACTCTCACATCTAGGTTTAGTTCAATACTCTTTATGGAACCAGGGTTTTTATAATGTGTAAGCTTTTATTTTTTCGACAGTAACGTTTACAGTTTCGTATTTCAGCCTTCTAGTTCTGTATCAAGTCTACCACTGACTTTGTGGTATATTTTCATCTCCGACTGCTCTTTAAAACTGTTATCGATATCTATTAAAAGTGTATGCTTGTTATGCCTGTCTAAAACACTTGATTGCTACTCTATGGTAGGTTGGTTTTATATGTACGTATGATATTCCTGGTACTCTTTGTGGGTTGACAGTTCGAGATATTGAGTATTTTGTCTTTTTCTTATTTTCACGTCACCCAGTTTCATTGGGCACTGTTAGTCACGCAGGGTTTTTAGTTATTTGAAACTCAGAAAAGTCATGACAAATGCCATTAACTTCAGGGTTGCTTTAACTACATCCTTAATATATTGTATTTGGATAAACAACATGAGGCTTAATATCCTTATCACTGGACGAATGCGTTGATACTATAAAGTACGGAGTATCCGTAAAATGATACTTAATAATTCAATGACATTCACACTTATGCTGGATGAATGGATATTTTGACGTCTCTATCCGTTAAAAACTTATGATACTAAACCGTCTGTGACTTGTTTTTCTAAAGACCTGTTCGCCGAATCCCCTTCATTTGCCGGATTACGTAGCCTTAGTTCTTCCACCGTTGTAGTTCTGCCTTATACTTCGTGTCTTGATGTGCTAATAACCTATTTGTGTTTAGACTTCGTCACTGCGTTAAAATGTAAGTACCTGTAATTTCTTACAAAAAGTGAAGGTTGTATCATGTCGACTTTAAAAGATATACTCTTCGTGAACTCAATATTGATGTATTATCTTCTCTATAGTATCAAAAAATTAAATATACAGAACTCAGTAGAGAAAATATTTTCGAAGGAACTATAGAGTGGGTTTCATCCTGCAGCTTATCGACTCAATACACTATGCATTACTCATCCGAAACCACCTCTATGGTTTCCCCTTCACTCAATATTACCCAATCGATGGTTCCACGACCTGCAACTCTGTAATCAACTTTTAGCTCATATTTACATTAAACTACATTCTGCGTAGAGTCTAGTTATGGTAACTCACTGTGAAATCTAAGTAAAGTAGGTTTTAGACTTATTACCAACTGGTTACAACCCGAATTGTTAAACTTCTAGGTCACCACCCTTTCCAAGTTATTGGTGAGTAACGGCGCTAACTGTTGCACATCATAATTAAGTTCATTTGGAAGGAGTTCTCATTAATATCGGATGGGATTGCGAAGATTTATTGACTTTAAGCAACTTCATGAGAGCAAATTTTTAAACGGCTTTAAAAACTTGTCCATAGAGAAAGTGGACTAGAACTTTCGTTATAGTAGTCAGTCTTAACCCATATGTAATGGTTGTCAATCTGACCGTATTATATACTCTACAAACTACAGTTGCATTGCTGTAACGTGATCAAATAATAGTCTCAGGTAATCCAGAATTGTTTAATAAATTCTTTCCTGTTACACGTTGATTAGTAAAGTAGTAAGATTCAAGACCTTTTATGACCTTAACTAATGTAACACTTGTAGACGGAGTGTTGTTATTGTGTTTTTTTACTCTTATGCAACCGATCGGCCTTGGTTGTGTTTCGACGGTCGTTTGATTTCCAAAACTGATTAAGGTGAGTTTTCTAGGAAAATTTCTAAGTCCTTCATCCAGTGAAATAATGTGTCAGTTTATGATTCAGCTACTTGATATCATTCAAGTTATCTACATAAAGTAGTACAGATTTCTTGTGTGCTAACAATAACTATTACATACACTTCAAAATTTGCACTAATGGTAAACTTGACAGTATTGACTTAGGTCATTAAAACACTCGATCAAAAAACTTGACACAAAACAAGTAGAATTTTAAAATTTTCTAACCAAGCATTTAGTGGTCCCTTCATGGCGTTGAGGTCATTCACGTTCAAATAGATTTTATGACTATAGAATCAAGATAGATAATTTGCGTTAATTCCTGTCAGTCTAATAACCTTACTGTTAGATATATCTAAGGTTTAGAGCACACCTGCTTCTGTTTGGGCACCCGAGCAGTATCACAGCCCTCTCACGAACCAAATGAGATTTGTGTGGCTCATATACATGTGGTGACTTCTTGTACCAATGTTTATATGTTTAAATAAATAAACAAACATTTTAGTCATGTTTGTCCAACTTTTCATACATTCTGGTATCCATTTTACTCCATCATTTTCCTTTTAGGGTTCATTACTCTGTTTTTTGGAATATATATTCTTATTCCTAAGACACATACCACCTGGGATTCTGTGGATATATTTCCTGGTAGAGTTAAATTGGAAACTACAGGGCATCTTAGCTGGGAGAATATTTGTATGCTTATTGTACGTTATTTTAAAAGTGAGTTACGTCTTAACATCCAACTATATAAGTGTTTTATGTAATGTTAAACGTTTTTTAACACTAGTGGCAACACTGTTCACATCTTAATTTTATAACATGTTTTAGTCACCGACGGTTGGTTCTTATTGCGTGTGATAAGAAATCAGTATTCACAGTGTTAGTCTACCATAAGTAAACGTGAATGTCAGACATTATCGTCCGCTTGGATTCCAAGTTCATGATAGCCATATTATAGTTCATGTTACCCAGCATGGTTGGATTACATTGGTTGTGTTTCTATCTTTTTGATGTTATTCAAAATAAAAAAAGAAAGTACATTGTTATAGTTGCCCTATTGCTCTTAATGGTATATTGTGGCAGCTTACTGTCGTAGCTTAATGTGGACAGGATGATGTCAGATGCAGTTAGAGGTATGATGTCAGCCGTCACTTCCTGCTTGCCCACACATTGGAAGGATATTTCCTAAGAGATCTGAAAAAGAAGCTAGATTAACGTCGGTTTTAGCGATCTAAGAGTAATGACCAAGGACGACTGCTTGGGGACGGTTATACATGACTTTCTTATGGTACGCATTTCAAACAAATTCACTCCTGGAGACAGAAATCTGTGGAATGAGGTGTGACAATTTTATTATTAACGTTTTCCAACCCCTTCATTTCTTCGTGAAAAAACAGCATCGCTGCAGATGCTGATTGTCTTCTGTCACAGCCCTCTACAGTCAGAAGTATAAGTTCACCCTCAGACCTTAATTTGCTGCTTTTAGTTTTACCGTTCTCCAACTTTCCTTCCTGGCATGATAGGACCTAAAGAGACAATTGTTTCAGCCAATATAGCTTGACTGAGTCATCACGACAAACAAGCTCGACCACCACGTCATGTTGGCAGCTGCGGTAGGGCAACTTAATCTGTGTTTGTTGTTTGGGTACTTTTAAATGTAAATCAGTATCATACGAATTTCAACTCTTTGTTGTCTAACAAGATTTTGGGCCAGTAACCGGTATCAGCCATTTTCAGTTTATAGGCGTGCATCTTGAAATTGTACATGCTTCTGTACTGTTTCCAAGTTGGGTTTTACAGATAATTTTATGCTTCATAACACTCACTTCATTTAGATTCTTCACGTACAATGGAAGTTATGTTTTCAGTTTCGTTGAAATTACGAACTGACCCAAGTTTGACTACCATTGAGAATCCGAAAGCACTGGACAGCCGTTTCGTCCTAGTACGGGACACTCTAGGAGTGCACACCCACGGCTTCGCACTCAGAAATTGTATGCAAGACCTTCATGCTCGCGCGCGGACGCCTGACTTCTAGACATCTGAGTCGGAATTGATTCGTGCTAATGTCTAATTTCAATGAGTCCACGATATTGCGTGACCATCTTCCATTGACTTCGGTAGTTAACTGCCACACATGACGCAGTCTAGCTCAACTGGCACTCACGAATTCTCACTAGAACTTCTGGAATTTTCTCTCGGGGTCGGTCACTAGTGAGAACATGATGATTGTTAGTATGAAGTTATGGGGATTGTTGGATCTCATTGAAATCATGACTATGTTTTCAGCAGTGGTTCGTGGTTTCAATGAAACTCAACAATCTCTAAAGCCACGTATTAACATACATATGAGGTTGCTTATTCCTACACAAGAGATAATCCGTTCTGATATATCCTTGGTCATCTTGGTTCTGTTGAGCATGAGGTTTTACAGCATATCAGTTTAAACTTCAGTTTTGTTTTGTTTTTGGACCTTGTCTTGCTGTTGTGATAGTATCAGAATTTTCATGTTTTGTTCTTCATTTCGTGAAATCTATTTAGAGCTTTATTTATTATATTCAGATATTTTTGAAAATGCTGGACAATATTATCGGTTGTTAACTTTAGCCTTCCGTAACCATCATACTTTGTTGCGCTTTAAGATTGTGTTTTGTCATAGTATCTTTTGTTTGCGAAAAATTACTAATTGATGGAGATTGCAATTTAGGACTTACTCAGAAAGATATGTAATTTCACTAGAAGCGTTTAAATTGATCACCTTATTCTTCCATAGAGGATAGTCTCTCATTGTAATGTTGATAAACACAACACTCGTTTGGTACTAACAATAGGGATCATTAATCTCGATAATACTTCGTTTTTAGGTCTCTCGTAACCAATTCTGATATGCTTTTTGCACTGTGCTAATAATTCGCAACTCTGACTTTAATACCATGAAAAAGACTACTTACATCCTCTTCTCTTTCTTGCCCCACTGACCAGAGTGAAAACATCAGTTTTTGTAGATTAGGCTTTTTCATTTTGACCCAGTAAAATTATCTCGAAATGCAATAAGTTTTATTAGTTATATATCGTTAAAGAAATAATTAGAATACTTAAACTGAGTATTTTTGACTGATACAAAATATCGTAAAATGTTTTGAAACTCCATCAAGTGTTCGCACTGAATAATTTGCTGTAATAGAATCTCAACCTAATTGGTATTGGTTCGCTTCTCATAAGTTGTATTGAGATTGGATATCCCTAACCAAAGATAGTCGTAGGATGCTGGGTATAAAGTGATAAATCGGTTGACAAAGTTGTAAACTTTCATTGAGTGAGTTTAGTAGAACACATGTTAAGCATACTCAACCGTTTGTTTCTACCTGAAATAATGGCACGCACAAGATAACTTGAAAGAGGACAACAAGTAGCAAGTGAACTTGCTTTTGTCTTATTCTAAATCGTGCGTTTTAATATTATTTCACACTTTTTGTTCCTGTGTTACGTTAGTTATTTTCAGACTGTATTCTCTGCTTTGTTTTAATTGTCATCAATACAATTGTTACTTCGACATCTTTAATATCAATCGTAATAAGAGGCAACTAGGCTTGAGATTATCGTCAATTCAATGTGATAACCGTTCATTTCACTGTTTGGTTGAATTTTGTTGACTTCAATTATTAAATAACTTCAGTATAATACAGTTTTAGTCTGATAATTTTCGTTGCGTTCATTCAGTATTTATTATTTATTTATTTGTACACAAATATTGGTACAGGGGGCACCAAATATATATGCGCCACAAAAAACAATGGGAATTTAAGAAGGGAAAAAAAGTAAGGAATTATAAGGATTATAAAATAAAAAAGAGCAATAATGGGGGGAGACGAAAAGGTACACTCAGAAGAAATCTTTCAGTTAAGGAAGGAGCAACCACTTTTTATGAAGAAAGTAAAAGAAGGTTACAGCAGGATCGCCACTGGCTTCAATTCTGAGCCATATCTGATAACGTTTCTAGCCACTGTGTTACACCATCTCTCGGACCCCAACCAGGGAGTCGTGAAGGGCCAACAGAAGCCATCCCTTTGCAGCTTTCTTTCATACCACGACACCATGTCATACACTGACCATCTCTCCTCTTTTTCCAACCAGTCCCAGGGTCGGCAAATAGTGCACGACGGGGAATTCTCTGGGACGACATTCGTAGAACATGTCCAAGCCACCGAAGTCGGTGTTTCAAGATGGTGACACCAATTGGATTGTCGTCTCTGTGCCCGAACACACGATGCCGAACCTCTGCATTACTAACATGGTGTTGCCACTGGATGTTAGCAATCCTTTGGAGACAGCGATGATCGAACACAGAGATACGTCTAACATCCTCAACTCGGAGAGGCCAGGTTTCACATGCATAGAGCAAAACTGCTCTCACCGACGCGTTGTAGATTCGACCTTTTGCAGCCAGACTAACATCACGAAGGCGCCAAAGATGGCCCAGATTGACATAAGCCGCTCTGGCTCTCACTATACGTGCATTGATCTCATCACTCACACCACCACCAGCACTTATGCAGCTACCCAGATACACGAACTTCTCGACCACTTCTATCTGCTCACCATCCAGAGTGAGTAGAGGATTAGAATCCTGCCAGTCTTGTAGAGGTACTTTGCACTTCGAAGGTGCAAAGCACATACCATACCTACGGAAATTGATTGCCAACTGATTAAGTGCGGATTGCATAGCTTGGGCATTCTCGCACAGTAAGACAATATCATCCGCATACTCAAGGTCGATGAGTCTTTCTCCAGGCAACAGATGCACATCGCCATTACTTATATCCGTCAGAGCTGTTTCCAGAATGTCATCGATGGCAAAGTTGAAGAGGAATGGTGAGATTGGGCAACGTCAGCACGGATACATAAGGTTGGTCACAGGCTACTATGGGACTGCATCTCCTTACGTTGCTCCACTGTCTTATGGATTAGACCTTTAGGTCAAAGTCTTGGGGTGTAGCCACCTTCTTCGGTTTGGGCACCCAAGCAGTATTCCAGCCCTCTCAAAAATTGAGTTATTTGTGTGGCGCATATACATGTGATGACTCCTTGTACCAATGTTTATATGCTTAAATAAATAAATAAAACTATATGCCAGGAAACACCAACAGGAACGTTTCAGTTATAGTATTCTCCTCTTTGTTTATTCTTTGAAAAAATGAATGACAAATACAATCGAATTAATGCACTTTTTGTTCGACGAATGAAAAAGTTAGTTTTAGCAGCTAAACTATTAGAAAAAATTTCAAGATTGAAGATGAATAGGGAATACTAATTGTAGGTATATTTCTTAAAATTACAATTTAAATGTATATTAAACAGTAATCTATTAAATTATATTATTGGTTTTATGAACTTGTTGCTTTAACAAAATTTTTGATATTGAATCAGGCAGTTATTGTTGTTATTCCTATTGCTACAGTTTATATCAGTGTAGCAAATCGAAGTTAACATAATGTAATGTCTGTATAGTAATATCAATCGGAACATCTCTCTCTATGTATATGTTATTTGTGCAGTTTTGAAACTGAAATCGTTGAAAAGGATTTCTTAGCCAAATTAACTGGCTTATGACAAAGGAATGCAAACACTGGAACTAAAGTCCAAAGAATATCAGTTTAGTGAGAAAATCCAAAGTTATTTAGTTTGAAATCTTGGTATTCAGTAAGTAAATGAATGTCATTAATTTTCTATGTTCATTGTTTTTTTTTCCCCTAGGTTTGCATATTACTTTCATTGTGTAAAGAGTTTATGAAATTTTCACGTTCGATGATATGTACAAAAGTGAGTACAAGTTTGTCATACTTCTTCGCCATCAAGCTATCCTTAGTTTTGATGGAATTTATTTTTTGAATGAAAATGACATTGTGGTTGGAATTGTCTGTCTTAGCGAGATTATGCTGGATTTTGTTGATCGGGACTCATGCAATATTCTGAAAGTTGGTTTATCAGCAAAAGTGGTATCAATTATGATTTCTGATCTCTAGAGTCAACCATGTCGGAATGAAACAATCAACCCCGATTTTATAGGTTTGTGATTACTACGCCCCGACCGTTGTTGCTACCTTGACGTGGTGGTCGGGCTTGCCTATCGTGATGAAGCAACTGAGCTACACTGGCTGGAACAACCGTTCCTCAAGGTCCTACCATGCCAGACAGGTCGGTTGAAGAGCGGTAAGACTGAAAGCAACAAATCCAAGATCCGAAGGCGAAATCGTACTGCTGACTGAGCGTACAGAGGTGTGACAGCAGTAAGGTGTTTCCTTCAGACAACCAGCATGACAGCAATGCTGCCTTCCCACTAGGAGGGGCGGGGTTAGAAAAGGTCGACCCTAAAAATGCACACCTCGCCTTATCCCATGGATATCCGTCTCTGGCGGTAAGGTCTCAAGTACGGAGCTAAAACAAAAATTACTCATAAAAAAGTCGTGTGCAACCGACCTCAAGCAGCTGTCCTTGGGCACTGCGGGGTCGCGCTCTCAGGTCACTAAGACCACCTCTAATCCAATTTCCTTTTCAGGTACCTCCAGGAGAACCCTTCCCAATGTGGGCAACCGGGAAGTGATAACCACCCTCATACTTCTAACAGCACTCAAGACCACTGTATTCATAATCAACCTCCCTCTTCAATTCCTATTATCCCTTTTACATCGACTTTTAACTCTAAACTTCCTCCTTTGGTTTCCTCCTCAAGTATCACCATAACCAACGATTCTAGTGCGCAAAACACTGTCTTAGGTCTACTGAAACCTCACTCCAAACTACACATTGGAGCCTTCAACGTACGCACACTATATCAAATCGGTCAGCAGGCATCCTTGGCTAAAACTCTAGCATCTCGTACAATTGATGTATTCTGCGTCTCCAGAACACACATACAGGATCCTAGTGTGGTCATTCACTTGACCTCACCTCGGCAAAACGGAGAGCCGACGAGATACACCCTCCGTGTATCTGGCGACCCGACGGCTAATTCTCGTGGACTGGTAGGTATAGGCATAGCACTAAGCATAAGGGAGGAACAAGCGCTATGAGAGTGGATCCCCGTAAACAGTCGTCTATGCGCTGTTCGGCTAAACGGCTCCGTAAGAACCCGGAAAAGTAGGGACACACGTCGTTGCCTTTTCGTCGTTTCTGCCTACACTCCCACTGACTGCAGCTCGGATGAAGTGAAAGATGAATTTTACAGAAAACTCTCTGAACTTCTTCAGAAAGCTAAACGTCCAGACATAGTACTCGTAGGAGGTGACTTTAATACCTAGGTAGGTAGCTTAAACGAAACAGAAAGACATTTAGGTGGGTATTTTAGTATTCCGGCACGGCGAACAGATAATGGTGATCGTCTGCTGCAACTGTGCTCAGACAACCGTTTATTTTTAGCAAACACAAATTTTAAGCATAAGGAGAGACACCACCTGACATGGCGACCCCCTGCACCAAATCAACAATAGACCATATTGCCATCATTCATCGTTGGAGAGGGTCGATAGAAGATTGTCGTTCATTCTGGAGTACCTGTTTGGACTCCGACCATGCCCTAATACGAGCACGCATCTGTTTGCGCCTCACTGGACGCAAAAGAGCCACACAAAAAAGACTCATTAGAACCGAATTGAGTAACGAGAAAACCAAACGTAGGTTCCGAGAACAACTGAGGTCACACTTATGTAGTTCTGAAAATGAGGCTGACCCAGATGTTGCTTGGAAAGATATACAATCAGCTGTAGAAACAGCAGTGACATCTATTATTAATTTAAACCAAAGGGTTACAAAGAACCAATGGATTTCTTCAAGGTCTGTTGCACTGATGGATTCGCGTAAACTCATCCCATCAGGATCTGAACACGATGAAGAGCGGAAACAAATCAGATCTAGGTTAAGCAAAAGTCTAAGGAACGACCGTGAGCAGTGGTGGGCAACGGAAGCGAAAGAGATGGAAAAAGCGGCGGCTATAGAGAACACAATACAACTCTACAGACTAATTAAAGAAACTGAAATTAAAAATTCAAATGTAAGTCAGACTATTTCGGAAAAAAACGGCACTCTCATCTACTCCCAGTCCAGACGTTTAGAACGAAAGACGAAACATTTTAGAGAACAGTTCAGTTGGCCTTCAACTACTCTACAACTACCCTCCATTCCCAGACAGTGTGAATGGAACATTGAGGTAGATCCCCCAACTCTAGCTGAAGTTCAAAAGGCTATAGTTAATCTAAAACGAGCAAGGGGAGCTGGTCCAGATGGATTGGCTCCAGAGGTCTTTAAGGATGGTGGTCCAATTTTAGCGACTAGGTTGACTAATAATTTAGTTAAAATCTGGGAGTTGGACATAATCCCCTCTGACTGGTCACAGTCACTTATCATCCCAGTATATAAGAAAGGGTCAAAATCATCCTGTGACAACCATAGAGGGATTAGTTTAACTAATATAGTATCTAAAATACTAGCCTCGATAATTATCGGACGCCTAACTAAGACTCGTGAACTGCAAACACGAGAGAATCAAGCTGGCTTCAGACCTGGTCGTGGATCTATAGACCATATATTCACCGTTCGTCAGGTTCTGGAACACAGACATACTTATCGGCGTCCGACAATGGTGGTCTTTCTTGACTTAAAAGCAGCATTCGACTCTGTAGATCGAGAGGTTCTATGGCAGTGTCTGTCATTGAAAGGCGTACCTCAGAACTACATAAACCTTATGAAGGCTCTTTACTCGAACACTACTAGTCGGGTCACAGCTTATGGCGAACTGTCATCCGCTTTTGCAACCGCAAGTGGGGTCCGTCAAGGCTGTCCACTTCCTCCATTTTTGTTTGATTTCATCATAGGCATACTGCTGGAAATAACGTTCTCGTCGACTGAATTTTCGGCATCGATCTCCTTCCAAGAGGTTCAATTATCTACTTGGAATACTCAGATTATATAGTCCTGTTTGGTGAAGACGCTGGCAAAGTGAAGTCTTTTGGTAGCACTGAGCAACAATACCAGAACGTTTAGGTTGCGTTTCTCCCCCTCTAAATGCAAGTTGTTGCTTCAGGACTGGTCTGCGTCAACACCTGAACTAAGGATAGGGAGTAAAGTAGTCGAACGCGTTGACAACTTCACTTATCTTGGAAGTCTGATCAGCCTTAATGGGTTGGTGTCTGACGAAATCTCAGCACGGATTCGAAAAGCTCGTTTGGCCTTTGCCAACTTACGTGACCTATGGCGCAGGCGAGATATCCATCTATCAACTAGAGGACGAGTATACTACGCAGCAGCTCGTTCAGTTCTACTATACGGCTGCGGAACGTGGCCATTAAGAGTAGAAGATATTCGTAAGCTACTAGTATTTGACCACAGATACCTTAAAAATATTGCCGACATCTGCTGGGATCACCGGGTAAGTTATAGTGAGGTTAGACGCAAGGTATTAGGGAATGATGGTATATCAGTCGATGAGGTTGTGAATCTTCATCGACTGAGATGGTTGGGCCACGTGTTGCGTATGCCTGAACACCGATTACCACGACGCGCAGTGCTAACTAGTGTAGGGGATGATTGGAATAAAGTTAGGGGTGGCCAAACTAAAACGTGGCATCAGTGCTTGAAGTCACTAACTTCTGGTCTTAGTCATGTTGGTAGATACAGACTGCTTGATTGGGGTCCGCGTGATCAATGATTGGAGACTCTTGGTGACAGGGCTCAGAATCGATCACAATGGCGTCGATGTATACGCTCTCTGTCTTCTCTTAAACTAAGAGATTAAAATTGCTTTATATCTTTCTTTCTACGAACTAATTATTTTTCCCTGTACTATGTCCTTATGTGCATATACTCCAGATCTCTCCTGAACGCATCGTTTTCTATCTAGCGTGGGTCCAATGGGTTTTACTTATTCGGTAAACCTGTCAGTTGTATCTCCTCGCTTCCGTTCGATTTCATAACGTCCACAATTGAACATTCTTAAACTAAGACCGAACAGATACCTAGTGCTCCCGAGTTTTCAATAGATTTCTAGATGATATCTGTCTTTGATGAACACAGTCTTCAAATTGGAAAAAATTACACAGGCTGCCTGTTTGCATAACTTTTCCTATGCTGAAATGGATGAGTAATAGTAATATTCAAAGAACGATAAATACGAAACTGTTGAGGTTGATTCCCCAAATACAACTTATGAGACAGAAAATCAATATCAATTTAAGGGTAATGTAAGGTCAAATTTTAACACATTTACGTCACATGACTTTATAAAATTCTAATGCATTTGTATCTAGTTACAGTCAGTTAGTTCACAAATTCCGATCACTGTAACTAATATATAACCAATTAACTTAAACGTGTTTTTAATCCTACTGGAGCTATTACCGACTAATTTTCAATTGCGAAATTGATCTTTTCATCCGACTTAGTGAGGCGGCGAGTTAGAGGATAGAAATTATCTTGTTCACTGTATTGAAGTTGGATTTTCAAAATATTAGTATAGCGCACGAACACTGTTTACACGTATACTGTTTATCAATTATTTCATATAGCCATATACAATTGAACTGCAGGCGCCATCGAATGAAGTGTGTAATATGTGCCTTGAATCTTATACTCATGTCGGGATTTTGTCTTGTAATGTAAGTCAATTTTACAGCGTTAAATAATTGGGAAAGTTATGAAAATGTTTGACTTATTGTTTACATATGATTTTAATAAACTAATGAATTGGACCTTTTTGGTAAGGAAAATTTCTAATGAAAACGAATTTTCTAAAATTTATTTAATTTACATTCTTTGTGGTAAAACTAGGCACCAGAAAAGTTTGCACTATATATATAGAGGGATAATATTGAGAAAAAGTTAAGTAAGGAATAGAAATATAATCCAAAAATGTAACTGGACAAGAATAGTGCATGGTAGGGGATACAGTTTAGTTAAATGTACAACCAAGAAATACTTCTTTCTTCTAAAGAAGTTCCTCCCACTTTACAAACAATATGAAAGAAAACTACGACGAGATTGTGTTATCTCGTGTTGAAAGTGATGTTAGCTTCTGGATCATACGTAAACTCCACGGCACTACTTACTGTACTGTGGGTGATGGTATTTTGGTACATCGAAGATACCTGAGGTTATTTTTGTGAAATTGTTGACATCTCCATCAAATTTAATTGTTAAACTGCTGTTCGCACCAGCTTATCTACATATACGTTATGCAATGTTGTCATTTCGCTTTGTGTGGTATTTCTAACTCCTTATTTCATTAAAAATGTCCTTCTAGCTAGTTAATAGGTTAACGCGACATTTTGTTGTATTTTAATTTCAATACTTTCTTGGAAAAAGATAACCTTTTTAGTCCAAATAGTTTCACTTATTTTTAAATCATGCTAAATACTAATTTATTCACATATTTTTTTAAAACAAATTTCTCCATTTGCATGTATGTATGTATAGCATAAATTTTGTGCTAAATGCACAACACGTTGGTTTAATACATTTACTAAATGCCCGTCATGTAATCCAGAATGTGGTGAAAATTCAAGATGGCGGAGTGGATCGATGGATTTATTTATTCAATTTTATTAAAACTCAGTGTTATCCTACTTTTGTGTATTAATTTACTAATTTTCCTTGCCAGTTATTCTTGTTAAATGATTAAGAATAATGTTCCAAAGACTTGTTTGTATTTTCCTTTCTATGTACTTATTTATTTGGAGTAAAAAAATAATTAATTGTAATTGGCTGTGAAAAAAGTTGTATGTGTCTTGTCTATTTTATAAAATAGTTAATTATTCATGTTGTACCTACATGATAACTTGTAAATTAACTCTAATTTTTTGGAGGAAAAAATGAACCGGATATTTTTTGTCCTGTTCGTTTAATAATTATTGACAGTATTATCTATTGTTATTTCTCGATGCTTGTTTACAAATTTCCTTTTAAAGTTGTTTTGTAATTTTTTTATCAATAAATAACTAGACCTTAGTTTTATGGTGCAGTTTTGATAAACTAATAGTGGTTAAGAAATCTTTATGAAATAGGGTAGTAGGTTATTTTAGTGTGGATGTTTATGTTGTAAAGCCACGCTCTCAAGTCACAGGCAAAGATGAATAATGTGGAGAAATGCTTAGTAACTTGTGCTAACAATTATACATTCATATAGTTACAGAATCAAACCATGTACCTAATTGGGGTACAATAAACCCACAGAGTATGATACTTATAATCTGCGTACAAATCGAACAAATTAGTTTATACCTATTTCTTCTCATGGTCACTATGTTCCCGTTCATAATGTAAAGAATTACTCTGTCAATAGTCAGAAAGTTCCTGACTCTAACTCTGATGTTTGTAGGTCGTAAGGTAAGATTAATTATTCTTTAATGCAGTTACAAATAAGCTCAATCTTTGTTGCATTATCATTGGATCACTGGGAGTACCCTCCTTTCCAAACTACTAATGTAATACCGTAAAATTTAGATTTGGTTAATGTACTTTTTTCAGATATTTATATCTATCAAAAACAGCTGGTGGAAATGTCCTACTACGCATCACGTTACTTGATGCATGTTCGTTTATGTCACTGTATAAATATGACACATATTCAATGCGTTTTACAGTTTGATATGTATATTCATTTTCTTATGACAGCTCACTAATGAATTTCAGGTTGGGTGATGAAATTATATGGTTTTATACTCAGATTGAGACATTATTATGTTCTTGGATACGTCATAAGCCATAAATTCACTGGCTTCATTATCATATTCTTCACGCAATCGATAGACCACACAAATTCCTGTCCTAAGCATCCAATAAAAACACGGGGAAGCCAGATTGATGATAACAAGTACCTCATTTATATCCATAAATCATGTGATTACGTAGGTAAACCGCAAGTCCGCAGATTGACTCCGTTAGTAGATCCCATTAGGTACATAACCTGGATATTAGAAATATAAGACTGAGTAATAGTTTAGGATTGATCGACCAATTCCAAGTCGGAAACGGTTAATCAGTCTGAAGATAATTAAATCCCAAAGGTGTATAAATCCAGAAAGCGACACGAAACGCCGACTACAGTTCACTATTGGATAGCGCATATAACAAACACACCAAGAGAATTTGAACAGACAATCTGATACGCATGAGCAAGCGAATACAGAGGCGGATTCATGGTTAAACCGAATCGAATCAATTAGTAAGATTGAAGCATATATACTATGGAAAACTTCGCCTGTAGTTATTCCAGGATTATCGCAGTTAAAAAGCCCGGGTAAAGAAGGGTTAAAAGTAGGGGTCAGCGTCCCTATTTCGTAGAAAACAACCTTACTAACCAAGATAAACAAATTAAACCACTTGAACTCTGTTTCGGAAGTGGAGTGATCTTTCAGAAGAGATATGACGCATCATGGTGGAAGTCGATATTCTTCGAAAGTCATGAGGCTGACACCACTTCAACAACCAGTGCAACAATTAGTGTAGGTACGTGGAATATCCGGGAAGACCAATCAAATAGCTATGGAAATAAGGACGCACAACCTGACGGTCCTCGGAATCAGTGAAACCCATTGGATCCAAGTTGGCCAGAAAAGAATAGATTCGAGAGAGTTGCTGATGCACTCTGGTTACGAAGAAAGAAATGCTCCATACACCAATAAAGTTGCTCTGATGCAGTCTAAGGATGCATATAAACCACTTATATGGTGGGAATCTCATGGTCCAGGATCATAAAGCATCATTCAAAACAGAGAAGGGAGTCACAATGAATTTCGCCCAATGTTATGCACTCGCCAATGGTAAAAAAGACGACAATAAACATTAGTTTTATGAGAGGCTGCAATCAGTCATAAAGAAGTGCCCAGGGAACCATATGACCGTCCTGATGGAAGATCTAAACTCAAAAGTCTGAATAAACGACACCGACTATGAAGATATTATGAGACGACATGGACTGACTGAAAGAATCGGACGAGAATGGTGAGGTCTGCAAATTTATGTGCATTCTAATCGCTGAAAAATTCCCATTATAATAAAACACAATTGTATGAACGAAGAATATTCTTTTCAATAAGTTCTCATCAGATTCTACAATTATAAATCCAAATTAATAATCCATAAAATTGGCCAGATTTAAAGCAGAGTACATCATTAGAAAATTGTAATATGTAAATTAAGAATTGTTGTTTGTTATATAAAATCAAATCAGATCGTTAATGTTGGAGATGACTAATATAGTGTTAACTCGAATCAGTTTACAAGCGAGATGAAATTGTGCGATAAATGATCAGAATAAATATGGTCAACATGGGGTGAGAGAAAATAATGGAATAAAAATCAGAAATTACGTAATATGTAGAATAAAATGAATTAGGTCACAGCATTATAAAGGTTCAATACAGCCTTCGTTCGACATACACACTCAAAGAATTCGAGATAACTCTCAACAACAATTTCCATGACTTACTGGATCCACTGAAACTATGAAGAACAACTGGAAAAGGACCACTAACTCCAACGTGTCATGAGATTCTGGGCTATAAGAAGCATCACCATACGGAATAGATCGCTATCGATAGCTTGGACAAGACTGAAGAAAGGGAGAACAAGAGGACAGCAACTTACAATAACAGAACAAAAACAGAGAAATTCAAAGCACAAGCTGAGTACATAGAAACAAACAAGCAAGTGAAGAAGAGCATTAGAGCCGACAAGAAGAAATATGTAGAATAGTTAGCAACGACAGTGAAAAAAAAGCTTCAAGAAAAGGAAATGTGAGACAACTATATGACACGAAGAAGAAACTAGCAGGGGAATATAATAAACCAGAGACCGGTCAAGGACAAGGAAAGCAAGCCAATCAGTGAAATTCAAGGACACAGAAACAGATGGACAGAACACTTTGAGGAACTCTTGAATATGCCAGGTTCGCTGAATCCATCGGACATCGAAGCAGCACACACAGACATTCCTATAGGTGCCACCCCAACAACGATCGAAGAAATCAGGATGACCATCAGACAAATCAGGATTGGGAAAGCAGTAGGACCTGACAAAATACCAACTAAAGCAGTGAGATCACACATAGAAGCAACGGCAAACATTCTATTCAGGAAGATTTGGGAGGAGGAGCAGGTGCCGATGGACTGGAAAAACGGACACTCCATCAAGATAAGAAAGAAAGAGGATCTCAGCAAATGTGTGAACTACAGAGATATCACACTACTGTCAGTACCACAAAAGGTTTTCAACAGGATGTTACCTAACTGGATGAAAGACTCAGTAGCCGCCCAATTTAAAGATCAACAGACCGAATCCCGTAAGGATCGGTCGTGCACAAAATAAATCGCGACACTAAGGATCATTGCTGAGCAATCACTTGAATGGAATTCGTCACTATATATCAACTTCCTTGATTATGAGAAAGCGTTTGACAGTGTGGATTGGTGAAAACTATGGAAACGTCTTCGACACTACGGCGTACCTCAGAAAATCGTCAACATTATACGGGACGGAAGCGAGGAGATACAACTGACAGGTTTACCGAATAAGTAAAACCCATTGGACCCACGCTAGATAGAAAACGATGCGTTCAGGAGAGATCTGGAGTATATGCACATAAGGACATAGTACAGGGAAAAATAATTAGTTCGTAGAAAGAAAGATATAAAGCAATTTTAATCTCTTAGTTTAAGAGAAGACAGAGAGCGTATACATCGACGCCATTGTGATCGATTCTGAGCCCTGTCACCAAGAGTCTCCAATCATTGATCACGCGGACCCCAATCAAGCAGTCTGTATCTACCAACATGACTAAGACCAGAAGTTAGTGACTTCAAGCACTGATGCCACGTTTTAGTTTGGCCACCCCTAACTTTATTCCAATCATCCCCTACACTAGTTAGCACTGCGCGTCGTGGTAATCGGTGTTCAGGCATACGCAACACGTGGCCCAACCATCTCAGTCGATGAAGATTCACAACCTCATCGACTGATATACCATCATTCCCTAATACCTTGCGTCTAACCTCACTATAACTTACCCGGTGATCCCAGCAGATGTCGGCAATATTTTTAAGGTATCTGTGGTCAAATACTAGTAGCTTACGAATATCTTCTACTCTTAATGGCCACGTTCCGCAGCCGTATAGTAGAACTGAACGAGCTGCTGCGTAGTATACTCGTCCTCTAGTTGATAGATGGATATCTCGCCTGCGCCATAGGTCACGTAAGTTGGCAAAGGCCAAACGAGCTTTTCGAATCCGTGCTGAGATTTCGTCAGACACCAACCCATTAAGGCTGATCAGACTTCCAAGATAAGTGAAGTTGTCAACGCGTTCGACTACTTTACTCCCTATCCTTAGTTCAGGTGTTGACGCAGACCAGTCCTGAAGCAACAACTTGCATTTAGAGGGGGAGAAACGCAACCTAAACGTTCTGGTATTGTTGCTCAGTGCTACCAAAAGACTTCACTTTGCCAGCGTCTTCACCAAACAGGACTATATAATCTGAGTATTCCAAGTAGATAATTGAACCTCTTGGAAGGAGATCGATGCCGAAAATTCAGTCGACGAGAACGTTATTTCCAGCAGTATGCCTATGATGAAATCAAACAAAAATGGATACTAGACAACACTGGATAGAGAGGTTTACACAATCAAAGACCACCTTAGTCAGAAAGCATTATAGTATCAGAGCCAAATTACTCGCGATTTGAATAGCTATTTTATCGCATTTCAATCGCAAATGTTGCAGTCTCCACAATAAAAATATGTTGTCTAATCCTCAACTCATTATATTCGGTACGTTGAACATCCAGTGATAATCAATCGAAGAAATAACTCTCACGGACAACCCTCCATACGAAATTGATGAACGACTGAAATTAAGAACACTTGCACTAGTACCCAGTACGCCTATATGTAGTTATACGAAAATCCTGACTGAACAAAGCAGTCATTGGACTAACTAACTATGTGTCTCTAACGTTCGTGTACAGCAGGACTGAAAGTCTAATCACCTGTTAATGTTTTTGAACTAAGAAACAAGGCAAATTTTGTTGACATGTTATATTTGCTTCAGAATAAACTACAGACTGAGATGTGTCGTACTCTAGCAGATATGGGTAAAGTGAGCATCGTGGAAACAGGCATAACTTTACCTGCATCCAGTCATAGGGCTTACACCATATGCTGTTAGAGACACATCACAATAATTAATTTTACAACAGATCCCTGATGGCGTTACAGATACGTTCTAACTTTTTGCTGTCCACGAATCCATCACCGTTCTAAATATGAGGGAAAAATTACTAATATACTAAACGAAACGTACCTTTTTTGAATGTAAGAGTGGTCCACCTATTACTTGAACTTCAAACCAGCCAGTTGACTGCGGCGTCCCTTCACCAGACTGACGTATTAAAATTTAAAGACTATCTAACTTACAATTTCAAGTTTCCCTGGGAAGCGACGCTCCAGTTGCTGTTTGAAGCTGTTGTACTGTTAAATAGCAAAATACAAGTCACAGATTTATTTATTTATTTTAACACATAAGTATAGGTACAGGGAGGCACCAAATACATATGCGCCACAGGAATCTCGGTTGATTTGTGTGAGAGCTCGGGTGCTCAAACCGAAGCAGGTGGTTTTCTTAGGGGGCCACACCCCGAGCCTTTGACCTGGACGTCTGACCCACAAGGCAGTGCAGCATCGTGAGGAGATGCAGTCCCATGGTAGCCGGTGACCAACGATTGGTTCATACGCCATTTGTTCCTTCAGGATACTAGAGCCCATGTGCACCATTGGTTTGGGGTCCGGTTAAAGCGCCGGACATTCGCTTTTCGTCCTCTCGTTTTTGTAAGCAACACCTCCGCCACGAGAAGGCAGTGAGTAGGACTTCCCTGGCAGAGGCTATATACGCATGGCCATGTGAGAGCATTTCGAGAGGGAGAGCGGACTCTCCCCACTCTCGGCCGTACCAGGGCATTTGGGGGCTTTAATATGACAGTAAACTTAGTGAAACATGGACCTAGCACTCAGTTCATTAAAAAAAACCAAATACAGATAGTTACGAGTACCCGTATTAGTCTTGAAAGGAGCTGCATTGCTACACTTCAAAAAGGCAGTGCTGGATTTTCGTTGGTTAGCGTCACGTACTCCACTTGTAATAGAATACGGTGAGATCACAACTTAAGGACAAACCAATCAGACCTAAGGCAGGTCTCGGTTTTTGACGCGAAGACCGCCTATCCATATGGCTAAATAACATTTTGACATTGTAGCTGGTGTCAGTAGGCGATGAAAACTCTAACTTTAATTCCCAATCAGTACTAACTGATGTCTCATTATTACGTGTCTATAAATCTTCAAAAAAGTCACGTGCTGCGTGTGCATTCTACCAAATATATATACACATTTTAAATACTGTTCGGTCCCAATTTACACATAGTTGACCCGAGTAATACTTGCTTGGGATGTTAAGGAAGAACACAACAGAAACGTTCAAACGTCACCTTGACATACCTTCGGCTCATAACCTTAAGCTCCACTAGGGAAAGAAAATAGTTTGTTTAAAGAATAACCTTACCAAAATATAACGTGGATTTTTAGTGCCATTTTATTCGACAACTATGAAGTGTGGTGAAGACCGTACAAATTTACCTCGCTTTCGATTTATCTTCTTCATGGATTCGAGATTCAATTCTTAAACCTTTGCTGTGGAAAGGTTGTGATCTATTTGTTCTTCAGAAGTTCTTGACCAGAGGAAGACTTGATGTCCGTTGTTTCACTTTGCTTATGAGAGGTTAAAACACCAGTTGGTAATGCCTGAAGAAATTAAAGAGTAACAGTTTGTATCGTCAAATAATTTCCCAAAAATACTAGCTATATAAGTCCTCGAGATTTTATGCTAACCACATTAGTTTCACTGGACTCACCTAGTTGAAGGCATTCGGCCACGCTTCCGCATCAGAACACGAGTGGGTACGCCGTGCTTCACTTGTCCTACAACTACATAGATCAGTCACTTCTCGATATATCAATAACCTGCCAAATATATCTTCGAACCTCTTCGCTTTTGACTCCTGACTTGACAAGGTTGGCACGTTTCGATTATAAACAGCATTAATGGTTAGGGAGTTGTTGAACTCCGAATACTTGTGGTATCTTCACTGATGATCCCGATGTGACTTGGTACATTAATTTTTAAAATGTGAGTCTGTTCCATTCTGGAGCTTTATACGTCACTATTTTACTTTAATTTTTACATTTTTTAATTTTTTTGGTATCTTGGATATTGGTTTGCTCGTTCATTGCTGTGCTTGATGATCATCATGACTAAACGGATTCTTATATTATTAAGATCAAGGCTCTCACGCCACTCTCCTGTCAGCTAGTGCAATTCTTGCGCGACGCTGAAGCCTGATCCAGCTACGCACAAGATGACTTCCACGGAGACGTCGTATCATACCCATGCGAATAGTTTCACACAGTGATGAGGGCACAACCGCACGATTCCAACATGTAGGTCATACCTATTGTAACGAAAAGAGGACGATGAAAATCCCTCCACAGCCATTTTTGTTGGACAGTATTGTCATTTATCTGTTTCTTCTCCCTGTCATATATTTTAGCCTTTGTTCAGATCTCGCTCGAGCTTTTATTATGTGATTTTGATTAAAAACTTATCTTTTCGTTACCCAATTTTCTGTTGCATGTTGCCGGACTTTTGACAGTAAGGTCGCGTTTGACTAGGCTCAAGGTCACGGCATGATTCAGTGTGTGACTGCTAACCTTTTGACTGCCTGCCTGGGAGGATTTCTGGAATCCCTGCAGATAGATATTTGATCCTGCTTGTTAGGAATATATCTGTTGATTCTCAGGAATCGAACCCTTTGGTGTTAACTGTTTGTTTTATTGTTTAGCGCACTACTTTGCGTTAGAAAAACTTCTGACTGTATAGCACAGGCTGTACCGTTTGAGGCATTTTGTATTTTTGATATAATTTGTTCTATTTCTTAAATTAGAACCGTATAAATTGAGCACGAAATTTGTGTTTTGACATAATTTAATACGAGTGTCTCAAAAACGCTTGGAGAGCTATACAGAAGATCGTAGTCTGACCTATTCGAATACGTTTTGGTTTGTCAGTCCTGCGTTCAGCCAGAATACTGGTAGTTCGGTCGTTACACCTAGTAAGTTTAATATCGATGTCTCGGAAACTAACGAAACTGTACAAAAGACTATTCTTAAACGCAGCAATCTAAGCGAAGGACAAAGTTTAGATCAACTCTTCAACATCATCGATCTACAACATGGCTGAGCATTAGACATGTTGCAACGAATGATAGGTAATTGGGCAACAGAGCTTTGATGGAACTACCGATCAGATTCTAAAGACCCCATAGACCGTGACGTCATTTCAGATAATTCAAAGCTTGTAAAACTTTAACATTTATTTTTCTCCCTAGTCTATCCTACAGAACATAAGCTTTCGTTCGATATTAATTCGCTGTCATAGCCCTTTTTGTGCCAAAGCTAATGTATTTTAGACGTATTACTTGTACTCTATTTTCTACGCTAATCCCCAGTTCGGGACATAATTGTATTTTCCTAACTATTGTACGTTGTGGTCGGATTAGCCATCTATTTATTCATGTATCTTTTTCACTGATCTGAAATCGGGAACCTGATCGGAATCGATAATAAATCGAGTAGTGTTCCAGTTGACTTGTCTGCTCTCATCCGCGTGCTTGTCAGCCAATCAGGCGATATAATAGTATTTCTCGCTACCTCGATTCGAACTCATGCGTACTAGCCTCAAGGTTAAGCTGGTCAGTCTATCCTCAGCACCGAAGGTGTGTAGACAGTTCAAGGACTTGAAAGACCACATGATAGTCTTATGAACTATTCGACCATCAAACAGTCCACGAGCATCTCCCTTGCATATGGTCTCTAAAAGGACAGCAATGATTGGCGTCCAACTGGTGACTATCGTCGACTGAATGCGAAACCATTCTTGATCGTCACTCTTCGCCCCACATTCACGATTTGACGGCCACCTTGAAAGGTACAACTGTCTTTTCAAAGATCGATTTGGTTAAAGTATATAACCGAATTTCCATGGGTACTGACGATATCCCTAAAACCGTTATCGTCACTCCCTTCTGGCTTCACGAATTTTTGCGCGTGCGTTTAAGAAATGTTGAACAACTTTTCCAGGGGGTCGTCGACAACGTCGTTTGAAATCGCAACAACGCAAAAAAGAATTCTCCACAGTTAAGGATATTGTCGCAAGAACAACCTTGCTCGTACACCAGGACATTAAAACATTCATTAGCATCGACGTGGATACATCCGACTCGGCAATCGGAGGAGTCTTACAGAAATGGGTAACCATATATGACGTCCTTTGAAATTCTTCTCGAAATAGTCGCTAAACACCAAATCGAGTTATAGCACATCCGGTAGGGAATTCCTAACCGTGCATCATGTACAGCAATTCCAACACCCCGTAGAGGGTCAAGGATTCACTCTGTTTACTGGCTATGAACCTCCTACCTCTCATAGCTTATGTTCAGACAAGTGCTCTCCTCGAGAGTCTCAACCAATGGACTACACTCCGTAGTTTAATTCAGATATACAGCACGTTTCCATGGTTCTATGCACTTTGTCTCACATGACTTCCTTGAACCAATTCCAAGAAGTCAACCTTCGTGAACTCGCCCAGCTTCAAGAAGGCACTAATCTTCAGAAGAAGTTATCATTGACAACCCTGAGACTACAAAGTAGACAGATAATAACAGGCAATTTTTCTCATTTAGGTGTCGAGGCAGCCATTCTGCTCATGTCAGGTCGATTGCACTGACCGGGTGCAGTTAAAGACGTGGAAAAGTGAACGTTCTCCTGTGTAAGCTGGCAGAAATCTAAGGTGACTAGACACAAAAACTGTTCCTTGGGCTCTTTTGCAACTGCTGATGTCTGTTTCGACCGTCTTCATCACGGCTAGGTGAAACCCTAACCATGTTGAAATAGATAATCTTATCTCTAAACACGTGTGGACTGCTTCACACAATGGCCAGAAGCGGTATTTGCCAAGGATGTTACTAATGAAACGGTGCACGGTGTTCTCATATATTTGTAGAATTTACGTATGAGTTCATATTACTGCATCTATCTGTGCTGCTAGATTAACAGGCCTAACCTAACACTGAATTTGTCATGATATGCCTACCTAACCTACAAAACTTTACGTAGGGAACACCTATTCATCTGTACTCACTAGTCTTATCGTGATAGTCAGTATAGCTTTTATGAACATTTGGGGAACACATTTGGGCTAGAGCTAAAATAATATGTTCAAAACGAAAGGGGAGAGGAGGTATAAAATGATAACGCCTGCATGTTTGAACCATGTCGTCTCAATTTTGTTCACGCACTCAAATATTTTGACATTTTCCGTGTGTCAAACGTAGAATGTAAGACTTCCATAATTACCACTGTCATTAATATTATCATTAGTCCCCAGACACATTAGATTTTCTTTTTATCTCTTCTTATCCTTCTCAACATATTTAGTTCCTGATCATCCCTTAAATTATCTTTGACTTATATAGCATAATTCTTAATTATTATTGCACAAGTGTTTATACTAATATCCGGTTTCACTCTGTAAATTATGACGTAAATCCACATGTATTTATCCGAGTGCACTAAAGGATTTATATCATTTTAATTATTTGTTTTATTTTCCTAAATTGTTGGTTTAGTTCAGAGGTCGATATTCATTACAATATTATTATTATGATGATCATGGTTGAACCCTTTCACAAGGTGTTCGTTTCTTTCCTCTCTCTTTTTTTCCTTCTAAATAAATATTATTCTTAAGATTACGAAGTTTGTAATTAAGAAAATAACTTGTGTTACATTTAATTTAACTTCCCAGACTCGTTCTATCTTCACCATTTATATATGACTCATAATATTGATATTTGGTTATCCTTTTCACTCAATTGAGACTTTCACAGCATCACTCCAAACTATGACTGCACAAACATTTATTCTACTGTCATATCTTACTGCAATAATAAGTTATTTTTTCTTAATGATTTTCTATTCTATTTATTTTTTCACTAATTTGACGATACATACATAGTCGGTTTTTCTTGTTCTGTGTTCATAAACACGTCTATTGCACTATTTGCGTATTTCACGTCTCCTTTATTTCAATTCCCTTATTTTTTCCCTTTCCTTCTTTAAAGTCAACTCAATATTCTTCTCAATTACACAGAACCTGATTTATTATTATTATTCTACTGCTATTACTCTATTTTTCAAATATGGCAAATATAATGCTAAAATTATTAAAACTTGTGTATTGTTGCATTTTTGAAGAATCTCGAAATGATCTCTCCACAACACTTATGTACCAATAAGATGTTTGGGAATAATAATTATGAGCATCGTTAAGTTCACGTAGCTCTTCCATTTTATTCCTTTAACTCGCAGCGTTTATGTAAAAGCACTTCACGTTTTCAATCCGGACATCCGTTTCGTCCTAGTACGGGACACTCTGGGAGTGCACACCCACGGCTTCGCACTCAGAAATTGTATGCAAGACCTTCATGCTCGCGCGCGGACGCCTGACTTCTAGACATCTGAGTCGGAATTGATTCGTGCTAATGTCTAATTTCAATGAGTCCACGATATTGCGTGACCATCTTCCATTGACTTCGGTAGTTAACTGCCACACATGACGCAGTCTAGCTCAACTGGCACTCACGAATTCTCACTAGAACTTCTGGAATTTTCTCTCGGGGTCGGTCACTAGTGAGAACATGATGATTGTTAGTATGAAGTTATGGGGATTGTTGGATCTCATTGAAGTCATGACCACGTTTGTAACAGTGATCTAACTTAGATCGGTGCGTGAGCTTCCACGTCATGTACGTCTGCATGAGACTTATATGAATGGAGAGGTAGCCTACCTATACGAAGTTTTCCGAGCTGGTAGTTCCCGTGACCAACATTCATTTGTATTCAAGGAACACCATTTGTTTTATGGAGCTCTCCTTTTCCTAACGAATTTGTGGATGTTAGTCTTTACATGACACTGCATTTAAGTTGTTTTACTTGATACTTATTCCTGGCGGCAACCATATTGATCTGTTCTTCCTTTTGATTGTGTTGCTTGCATTGACTGGTATCGAACATTTTTGGTTGTGAATTGAGGCACTTCCAGAATTGAAATTTCTCTGTATTATAAAGCAACTGAATATTATCCTTTGAAAGAATCTGTGTGTGATCTATCCATACAGGATAGAATAACATTTATTTGTTGTGATTGGTAATTTTCTCGAATCCTTTATCAACTTCCTTATTTACTGTAATTTAGACTTGAATAATTGAACAATTATTGGTTGGATAGCTGGATGGTCATATTTGTTTACGTAACGATGTACATTTAAATTTATGATGAATATTAGAACCGTCATTTTACCCAGCCACTTTGTTTTGGTTTAGACCGGGCAAGGGCGCGTATCTAACCCACCTAGACAACTATTCTTCAGTCCAAACCTTAGTTTGGATCATACACTATGTACGTACCTTCTACTTCTTAAAAGTTGTCAAATGCTGGAATTCGCTGCGAGTTGAGCTAATCCAATCGACTTCCCAGGAGTCCTTCAAGGGGAAACTTGACATATCCTTAAAGATTAAGGATGTTATCTAACTATGATTTACCAATTTCGTTTTTCTCTTTTATCATTAACACTTTAGGTTCTTGCCTGGAGGTATTGATGATTCTTCTATTCAGTCCACAACCGTTTGAACACTGTAAGGGATTTCATTACAAACATACTCGAAAAATGTAACGGAATAATGTCATTCACGATCAATAAATGTTAGTTATTCAATGATATTTCGGTCAAGTGCTCACCTCTTAAGATTAGCATAATTTCTGAGTGATTGTTTTTATCTACTTAACTTTTAATCGTAAGATTGCACCTTCTTTACGAACAGAGTTGATGCTTTCGTTAAGATATTTAGTTGTTTGACTTTATTAGTTGAAAAGCATATTTTCGTTGTCCTCTTTCTGATCAAATGTGCTGTTTGCGCCTTCAAACCAATTGCGACGAATTATGTTTTAGAAAAGGAATTTAATTTTTGGCTATACTCATAGTTACTTGTTTCAGACTATTGCCCTTCATAGCCTCCGTGTGTAACAGTTTAGGGACTTGGGATAAAGTTCATGTTATAAAATAACATATTTCTGAAAGGCAGGTACACGCCATTCTTACAGGCATGATCTACAAATTACAACACTTATTGTTTCATATTATGCATGCTAAATAAATAGTCTATAAAAGTGAATATCAGTTCATTGCTACAGATGTGCTGAGTAGCCATCAAAACATTTCCCAAAGTGGCATCGCGTCCACTTTACACACCAGATCCAATCTCAGCATAATTGTGGGCTGATTTCGGTCATGCGAAGTATTTATGCAGTGCAGCTTTTTAAATTTATTGTTGTTATAAAGTAGATTTGTAGGGCGATTAGCTTTCCATTCTTCTCAAGTCTCTCTCCATTCCTCTGCGTAATGTATTCTTTGGCCTTTCTCTTCTCCTTCGGCCTTGAGAATTCCAATTGATGGCTCGCTCTGTAATGTAGTTGTGCGCTTTCCTCCTATCCACTTCCAGCGCTTCTTACTCTACTGGAATTTTGTTTGTTCTCTCCCACAATAGGTTGCTGGCAAATGGATCCGAAGTATTTTGCATAGGCAACTATTAATGAACACTTATATCCTCTGGATGATGGCTTTCGTAAATCTCCAAGTTTCCGCCCCATAAATTAGAACTGTCCTGATATTGATGTTGAAAATTCTGAGTTTGATGTCGGTTGACAGTTGGTTTACGGTGCAGATATTCTTCAACCGTAGATATGCTGCTCATGCTTTGCCGATCCGCGCCTTCACACGTGCTTCAAATCCTCCGTGTGCATCAATGATGCTGTCCAGATATGTAAATGTTCTTACCGCTTCTAAAGCTTTTCCATCAAGTGTAATTCGACTGGTACATGCCGTGTTGTATCGGAGGATCTTGCCTTTCACTTTGTGCATGTTGAGACCCACTACCGCTGCTACACTAGTCGTTTTCTCCTGTATTTGTAGTTGTGTGTGCGATAAAAGAGCCAGATAATCTGCGAAGTCTAGATCGTCCAGTTGCATACTAGATGTTCAGGGTGTCCCATGCTTCCCTCCAGATGTTGACGTATTCATGATCCAGTCGATCACCAGGAGAAAAAGAAAGAGTGAGACCCACAAATCTTGTCTGACAGCGGTCCTTTCTTGGAATGTACTTGTCAGCCACCCTCTATGCACCCCTTTGCATGTGTATGACGTTTATGATGTTGACGATTTTCTCAGGTACGCCATAGTGGCGTAGTCAAATGCCGGTTTGGTGGTCTAAACAATATATGAACTCTAAAATAATGATAAAGTTATAGTAATATGTATAATATATCAGTTGTACGATATAAACACAATAAAAGTTAGGGACGTTACTTAATTCAACTGGCTCGTGCGTGCTACGACTGAGTTTGGTACTTTAATCCACAATTATAAATGAATAATGATTCCAGTAAGATTGTTGCGCTTCCAGTGATATAGCCAAACATAGAATGTGATATAAGTGCGGCTGCAGTCTACAAATATAGACAGTAGATGATTCGGAGTTTAGTTATCACAACCACAGGCAATGGAGAACAAGAGGGGTGTATATAATAGTGTATTTGTCCGCAGATAAAAGCGTGTGTCATGATATGTGTGTAACACGACGGAGGAAATTGTGATCAAGGTCATACACTTAAACAACATATACAAACATTTATTGGTAAATGTATAGACTGTAAAAATTAACAGAATAAATACAAAAAATATCAAAAACTGTTTACGAAATAAGTTTGTTATTTCTATCTCCAAACTGTACTTTGTTACCGGCTGAGCTGTTCCAAGTGACCTCGCAGGAGTCGTTCAAAAGGAAACTTGACACATTCTTGAGGGCTAAGGATAGCATCTTGTTATGATTTACCAACTTTTTTCTTTTCGTCTTTTATCGTTAAAATACCTAGATTCCTGCCTGTAGGTGTCGTTGAGCCACTGCTACTAGATACGGAATTACGTTGAGAGAAAGCTCGTTCTATTCCATCCGAAATCATTTGAACAAGTCAAATGATCTAATAAAGCTCTCTGAGCTAAGATCATGTGTAGTATTTTAATCATTCATCCTCAGCCAACCGTGACAAGGTCAAAAGTTAGTGCGTTGCTCAAACAATACTCAGCAGGCGATACAACTGAAAGGTTTCAATCTTCTTATGGGACAGTCGAAAATCTTCAGCTTCTCATAAGAGTCAAACTAACAGTTAGTTCCGGATCTTTTTATGTCTCAATGAGTTTAGTCGTCACAGTACTGATGCACGTGCATCAGTTAGAAGCTAGGCGAAAAGGAATGCATGTTACTTTCCGAGTCATTCACATAAACAAAACAGTGAAAAACGATTAGAGTAGATAGTTTTGATCAACCACTCGGTATATACGGTTCTGTGTAATATTTGAAAAAAATTTTCTTCCTAAAAAACTTTGAGTAAGGTGGCGTACCTTCTTGTCAGTGATGTGAACTGTCAAAAGACCTTTCGCCTTACAAGATCAAATGATACATTTAGGTCAAGAATATAACTGAAGCCGGATAACAGTAAAAACCTGTCTTATAACATGTCAAAGAATAAAAGTCTGGACCACTTTCGTAACATGAATCTATTTTTTGACGTCTTGAGTTTACTATTCTACAGCAAATAATTAGTTATAGCAGTTAGCGTCTCGGGTACTAGATTATTTAAGCTTATTTTTTAGTGATTATCACGAGACAAGGTTTCTTTTACTAATTTAAATAAACAACAGTTCTGAGATCGTCTATTTTCCATTCTTTCAATCATACTGCAATCAGTGCGACTGATAAGCTGCGATCATCATTTCGAAATATCTTAACGGTTGGTCTACCGATGTCTGTTGCACTCCCCCCTCTTCAAGTTCCTTATAGCTGATGCATCGGAGTACTCAGAAATCAGCAGAATATTAATTGCATGCAATCATACAAGAAATAGCCTTCAGTTCTAATTGGTAAGGTGTATTGTGCACACACGTGGTCTGGTTAATAAGCTTCCTTCTCATTAGAATTTTTCACTCAAGTAACCGGTCGTGCGAGTGTATAGAAAGACTTTGTATCAATAACAACGGGCAAGTCACGATACCAAAAAAATTAATGAGACAGCAAGCGCACGAACAGAGAAATTTGATATAGCCATTGCTCCTCGATAAGAAGAGTGACGAGAGTCCCTACAATTCAAATGTCAATCGCCCACTACTGCACGCACGAACTTTGTGACGTCTTGAAGTCCAACCATTGGACTGGACCTTGCGTACTCCAATGATTGTATTATCGGTCCGGTTATAACCTGGGACAATCTAGAAAAAAATAAATAACAAACATGGAGTTGGAGATCGGAAGGACACATTTAGTGCTTTCTATAAGTATAGTTTTAAGTGGAATAAACCTATTTTCGGTACCAGTAACTGTATTAATAGGGTCCAAATTGATATGATTAGGATCCCCGCTGTAATTTACCGATAATCTACCATGTAAGCCATGCAAATTTGTATCAGCGTCATTGCGACCACTTTAATACTTCAACTCAACTAAAATGAGTCAGCGTATCAACATGAAACTACAATCCTTCGGAAGCTCAATTGGTAACGTTTTTATCTTCTGTGCAACATGAAAAACTCGGCTGAGGGAATAGATTTACTACCCCAAACTTTATCGCTAATATATATATATATATATGTTTCTTCCATTAAAAGTGAAAGCTATTTCTTGTGTGGTCACATCCACTTGTTATTTTGTTGATTTATGGTTACCCCTATACATCACCTTTTCCCTCAGAAAACTGGGTCTGACTCCTCAAATTTTAGCTTGAAGCTCTGTATTTGGTGGAGGGGGGGAGTTACATTAATAGCCTTTTCATTTTTGGGAAGCGTTAGCGGTCTGATGTTAATCGTCCGCTCAGACCTAGTGAATGGTAGGTAATTGAAGCGTAGCTTGTTTTTTTTTTCAATTAACCCACTGTTTAAATTATTAGGCTTATAAATGTTTATTTGGCCATCTCTATTATTTCGTTAAGGTATTTCTACTTACAAGAAAGTAAAATAGGCAAGCAAACCAAGAAATATTAAACTTTGCAGTACTATTTTGGTTCCAATAGCAACACTTTGACCGTATAAAATTCAGGAAGTGTAATGTAGTCAAATGTTTATAAAGTAATAGTGTTGATGATTTGGTTTCAGGCTGTAAATAGTTTGTACCCATCGACAGCTGGTAAGCCTAAAGTTACAAACTTGACAAAAAATATAAATTAACGATATAGAACCTCATCAAATAAATTTAGTTTCATTCGACTATGGGATCTTTCAAACCACTCATAAATATTTCTGTTCTGAACTGTGAAAACTAGATTATAAATTCTGGAGAATGCCATTTCTGAAGGGTGGACGTGCTGCAGTGACAAGGACTAAAAAATACCTAGAAGCTGGACGAATACTTCTAAACGATGGTGTCAAGATTATTGCCATCAATCACGTCCCCGGAGCGGAGATATCACACGGATGTGATGAGTTCATTAAATGGCATCTACCTCCTTTACAATTCAGAAATCCGAACGTTCAGGTAATCAGTTAACTCACATTTCTAACTCACCAGATAATAACGTTCAAAAATATGTTTCCGACTCCATTTATTAAAATTTATCTTGAAAAAAACGAAGAACAAGTGGTGAATTGTGCCTTTCGAAAGAATTCCGAAATCTATGATCACCTAATTACACTTCTTGGGAAGACTGCTCCATCTGATAGTTCCTTGGTGAATAACTTGACTACAAAAAACCCGTCAAGTTTTGGCACCGAGTAATTTTAAATCTAAAAAACCTAGTAGTTTCTTATTCGACTGTAGGTTCCCGCGCCAATGTATATGCGAATTATATGGTCAAATGCCTTGCTCGTCTAATGTTGGGAAACCGAAGCTATGGCCAAAGTTGGAATATACATTGCCTCCGGTGGATGCAGAATGGTTTAAAAACGCGACGGATACTAGTGTTACAAATGATGGATAGTCATTCAGTGTGCGTTCATCTGTAAAACACATCATTACTGTTTCATCTTGTGTCGTTCTTCCTCTTTCTAGTGTTTAACATATTTAGTACAATTTTTCAGGACATCGGATTTTTTTCAAGTTCATGCTATTAAAAAATATCTTATAAGACTGTGCAATTATTATCGTTTTAGACATCTTAGCTAAGTAGTTACAAGGACCTAAGTTTAATTTAAATAGATCCAACAAACTAAGTCCGTCAGAATAAAAAGTCTCTCAACAGTAAATTAGTGTGATTTTCAGTCCTATGAATCCCGGTTATATTTGAACGATATAACTCTTAAATTTTTTAGTTCTCATTTTTTTATTCGTAAGATTCGCCTATGTATTCTGACACAACTACAATTGTTTGACTTACTATCAATAAATATTTCGTGGATTTTCCTATCAGCTATCATGTAATCCTGTTGTTTTATGGGGCTATGAAGTTCTGTTTTGTGTTGCTACCGAACACGTTTTCCCGATCAAATGTCTTGAGCATTTACATTATTATTTATTGGTAAGTAGGAATTTTCAGCAATCCAATAAAAAGTGGAAACGCATCCCTACACTAATGATAACATTAACACCTACCTGTATGCTTCAAATCGGACAATTACCAGTACTTCACTTCCAATTGAATCAATAGTTTGAAGACTGAACACCAATGCGATCTCTATGTAGCCATTGAGAAGGCTGGTCGATTTAAAAAGATTATATTCTCATCACATACTCTTGTAATTAGGTGTTATTAAATGTCTTTTTGATATAAAAGTGAAATATCAGTTTGCGAAATTGCGTCACTTTACGTATCTGAATCTCAAAGTATGACTTGGGTGTAGGATATGGAATCCTCATATGGCTAACGGACGGTGAATCGCTATAAAGTCTGCATTAACTTCTTAATTGCTTTGCACACGCCATAATTTCGCGTAGTTTATGCTGACATCAAAACCACAAGAATAAGTACACTTAGCAAAGATAAATTTCGTCTTAAGACTAAATACGTCCTCAGAATGGTACCTCAAGTATACATTTGGTTCCCGTGATAAATGTGAACAAAATAGAAGAGAGATTTACAGAATAAAATGAATTTCAAAGCGTATGAGTTGCCTGTTGGAATACACTTATTCGAAACAAACTTGTTTGAGATTTCTCTTAACAACAAGCTTAAGTATCAGTAGACAGATGTTATGCTATGTGTAATCCTACTGTTAAAACTCTGGATAAGTTCACAATCTCAATGGACGTTTTGTACTTAAATTCACAAATCCACTAAGCATTGTCGCACTAAAAATAATTTAACTGTTTTTAATATCACTTCTAACGTGTTTGGGACGTATTACTCTAACAATTACATACTGTCGCTTCAAGGCGACCAGCGAAAACTCCTTAACTAATGATACGGGATGAATTTGTTGAGCATGTTGATCACTTTGGAAGCTTCGTCAGCCCTGTAAGTCTGATGAAACCTCAAAACAACTTTAGAGGGCTCGACTGATTTTCGCTAACTTGTGGTACGTTAGGTCTCGATAAGCATAATGAATGGTAAATTTGAGATCCACTTATGGACCAATACTAAACGTATATTTTTATCGTATAATTGTTAAATAACTAAATCATTCATATTTATTTTATTATAAGCTTTATTTTGATCTATGAACCATTACCATACGTCTTACCATTCTTGAATTATGCCCTGTCTATTAGTCACTCCCTTCCACATTCACAGCCACATTTGGCTAATTCTTGTACAAATGTTGTTTCTTATTTTGTGGTACGATGTGGTCTGTCTGGTTGGTATATAAACCCAGTACGCTTGAAACAAATGACTCATATTGCAGAGGCTTAGATTAGTGTTTTGGACTTAACTGCTTGGACTAGACGGAAAGCAGGGCCAGTTAGGACGTGTTTTACGTGTCCTTGGTCCGATCGATAATTCACTGCTCTCTGATTGGTGGTGTCGTTATGTTATACGTTAACAGGGCACTCAGGCCACAGGTTATAAATTGGCGCAGACCAGAAATCTGTTCGAAAAGTCAAAGGACGAACATATTACGAAGTGGTATGACTGAGATGAAGCTTTTCAAATCCTTGTCGGTGACATTAATAACTTACTAGTGTCCGGTCATAGGTGCATTCAATGCAATCATCGTATATTTTGGAACCATCAAGTCCAGAAGCAGAGGATAAGGTAGTCATAGAAATCCGATTGATAATGTAATGAATTTCCACAGGTCGAGATGGTTAGTACACGTACTACGCATTTATTTATTTATTTTAACACATAGATATTGGTACAAGGAGCCACCAAATATATATGCGCCATACAAAATTTTATTTGTGTGTTGGCTGTGATACTGCCCGGTCGCCTAGACCGAAGCAGGTGGTTTTCTTAACGGGCCACACCCGGACCTTTCGACCCGAAAGTCCGATCCACAAGGCAGTTGAGCATCATGAGGAGATGTAGTCCCATGGAAGCCGGTGACCAACGATTGGTTAATACGCCATTTGTTCCCTCAGGATAGTGGAGCCCATGTGCACCATTGATTTGGGATCTGGTTAAAGCGCCGGGCATTCGCTTTTCGTCCTCTCAATTTCGTAAGCAACACCCCTGCCACGAGAAGGCACTGAGTAGGACCTCCCTGGCAGAAGCTCTATGCCCCCAAATGCCTTGGTATGACCGAGAGTGGGGTGGGTTCACCCTCCCTCTCGAAATGCTTTCACACGGCTACGCGTATACAGTCTCTGCCAGGGAAGTCCTACTCACTGCCTTTTCGTGGCGGGGGTGTTGTTTACGAAATTGAGAGGACGAAAACGAATATCCGGCACTTTAACCAGATCCCAAACCAATGGTGCACATGGGCTACAGTATCCTGAGGGAACAAATGGCGTATTAACCAATTTCTTGGTCACCGGCTTCCATGGGACTGAATCTCCTTACGATGCTCCACTGCCTTGTGGGTCAGACGTTCAAGTCGAAGGCTCCGGGTGTGGCCCGTTAAGAAAACCACCTGCTTCGGTCAGTGCAACCGGGCAGTATCTCAGCCCACACACAAAATCTTGATGAACAGTCTACTATTGGAAAATTCTTTTCGCAGAGGCTGTATACGCGTGGCCATGTGAGAGCATTTCGAGAGGGTGAGCTGACTCTCCCTACTCTCGGCCGTAACAGGGCGTGCCAATCCACCAACTGCATCGACGCGCGATGGCTGGTGTAGATGTTTGGAAGGAAGCGGCTAAATCAAGAAGTGGCTTCAGTCCATGAAGACACTGACTGATGGACTGAGCCATGTAGGTAGGTGCGAGACACTTGGTTCGTGACCAATGGTTTACAGATCCCGGATGACAAGGCTCAGAATTATCTGCAACGACGCAGGTGTATCGACATTTTGTCTTCTCTCAGGTTGTGAGTTTATGAGAAGTATATGTTTCGCTAGAATCACAATATTATACCACGCGAATCAGAAATATAAATCACACATTCTCCGAGTCTAAGGTTTTTAGTGAGAATTTCATTTCTCTGTGATGTGGTAAGTTGAACCAATGTATACTTGGGTTGTAACCGGCTTAAGAGATCTATTTTCGCCCTTCTCGAGCTATCTTCGGATGCTCTTTTAAGAATGTGTTAAGAAGTCAACCGGACGAGAAACAAAACCGAAAGCAACAGGTAATCTAAATACGAGGAGTTAAGATTGAAAGGAACAAGTGATTGAAGGAAGAGACTTTAAGATCGATACTTGACTAGAGATTAAGTGGAAAGTTCAAAATGAATACGACTGAAACCGATTGTGCGACGTCAGTCGCCAACTACGTGTTGCGTGTGCCGTGACCAGGAAGCATGCAAATGACGACGTGATCTGTTCAAAAGTTAGTGATTTCATGGGGTGATGCTTTGTCTTGTCCACTCAGAGCTCTTTAAAAGCTTAAATCTCACTGTTGACGACTCTACTGTAGTGGCAGTAAAGTTTTTCGCCAGTAACTAGTATCTACAACGATCCAGTTACGTTGCAACGAGAGTACGGTAGGTAAAATCCAGTGCTAAAATAATAAATTTTATTTCTATTTCAGTATACTAACCAGGTGGTCATTATTATTAAACTACGAATAGTTCTGGATACGACTTTGCTCTGCTGACTTGATGGATACCATATGCCATACGACAGTTGTCTTAGGCGTTTCAGAATCCAATTCTGCAAGTGATTTTAGATAATGGCCCCCAACTGCCCTGGTTCGACCGAGTGCGAGAGTCCGCTCACTCGGCCACACGTATACAGCCTCTGCCAGGGAAGTCCTACTCACAGCCTTTTCGTGGCGGGGGTGTTGTTTACAAAATTGAGAGGACGAAAAGCGAATGTCCGGCGCATTAACCGGGTTAGTTGACACGGAGGGTCTACCTAGGAGAGTTGAGAAACCCCGATTCCAAACCAATGGCACACATTGGCTCCAGTATCCTGAGGGAACAAATGGCGTATTAACCAATCGTTGGTCACCGACTACCATGGGACTGAATCTCCTTACGATGCTCCACTGCCTTGTGGGTCAGACGTTCAAGTCGAAGGCTCCGGGTGTGGCCCGTTAAGAAAACCACCTGCTTCGGTCAGTGCAACCGGGCAGTATCTCAGCCCACACACAAAATCTTGATGAACAGTCTACTATTGGAAAATTCTTTTCGCAGAGGCTGTATACGCGTGGCCATGTGAGAGCATTTCGAGAGGGTGAGCTGACTCTCCCCACTCTCGGCCGTAACAGGGCGTGCCAATCCACCAACTGCATCGACGCGCGATGGCTGGTGTAGATGTTTGGAAGGAAGCGGCTAAATCAAGAAGTGGCTTCAGTCCATGAAGACACTGACTGATGGACTGAGCCATGTAGGTAGGTGCGAGACACTTGGTTCGTGACCAATGGTTTACAGATCCCGGATGACAAGGCTCAGAATTATCTGCAACGACGCAGGTGTATCGACATTTTGTCTTCTCTCAGGTTGTGAGTTTATGAGAAGTATATGTTTCGCTAGAATCACAATATTATACCACGCGAATCAGAAATATAAATCACACATTCTCCGAGTCTAAGGTTTTTAGTGAGAATTTCATTTCTCTGTGATGTGGTAAGTTGAACCAATGTATACTTGGGTTGTAACCGGCTTAAGAGATCTATTTTCGCCCTTCTCGAGCTATCTTCGGATGCTCTTTTAAGAATGTGTTAAGAAGTCAACCGGACGAGAAACAAAACCGAAAGCAACAGGTAATCTAAATACGAGGAGTTAAGATTGAAAGGAACAAGTGATTGAAGGAAGAGACTTTAAGATCGATACTTGACTAGAGATTAAGTGGAAAGTTCAAAATGAATACGACTGAAACCGATTGTGCGACGTCAGTCGCCAACTACGTGTTGCGTGTGCCGTGACCAGGAAGCATGCAAATGACGACGTGATCTGTTCAAAAGTTAGTGATTTCATGGGGTGATGCTTTGTCTTGTCCACTCAGAGCTCTTTAAAAGCTTAAATCTCACTGTTGACGACTCTACTGTAGTGGCAGTAAAGTTTTTCGCCAGTAACTAGTATCTACAACGATCCAGTTACGTTGCAACGAGAGTACGGTAGGTAAAATCCAGTGCTAAAATAATAAATTTTATTTCTATTTCAGTATACTAACCAGGTGGTCATTATTATTAAACTACGAATAGTTCTGGATACGACTTTGCTCTGCTGACTTGATGGATACCA